AAAGCCTTCGGGTAGCCAACCGGTCAATGTGTCTCCTCTCGATGAAAGTGAAAGCAAACATGGGAACATGGAATGTCCTCATCACGTATGAACCTAGCACGACTGTCCGTATTGCGAAAGAGATGAGAGGGTATGTAATTCCATATTAGATTTGTTTATTTGATATAAAGCGAACAGTGATACAGTATTATTTACTTGATTACGTTTCGAGCATAAATTATTGCTCATAATCATATCAATGAGAAGGTATGGCATAGAAGTTCTAGGAATCTGCGAAAACAGATGGAATGGAAGTGGACTTTCTAAATTGTCAACTGGAGAGGAGTCAACAATCTACTCTGCTATCGTCACCCAGACGACAACCATGAGCACACTGAGTTTTCGAGTGACTATCATGATGTCTCCAACAGCATCGAAGGTTCTCATGCAGTGGGAACCAATCTCCTCCACCATCAGGATCATGACAACAAGATTCGACTCAAAAGGAAGGAAAGTCACAATCATACAGTGTTACGCACCTACAAATAATGCAGAGCAAGAGAAAAAGGAGGAATTCTACAGACAACTGCAATCAGTACTAGACAAGACTCCAGTTGGCGACTTCAAAATTCTAATGGTGGGGTGACTTAAATGCCAAATTAGGAGGGGACAACACAGGAAGAGAACTCTTCATGGATCGAGAAGCACTCTATGAAATGATGAATGAGAATGAAGAACTGTTTGTAGATTTCTGCGCACTCAACGATTTGGTGATTGGAAGCAGTGTGTACAAACACAAGGATATTCACAAAGTAACATGGATTTGATTTCACCAGATGGACACACTACACTAACAATCAGATCGACTTCATCTCAATGTGAAGAAAGTGGAGACGCCACTTACTGGACACAAGATCAAGAAGGTGGGAAGATTTACGTTCACATCACTCATCATCTAGTGCAAGGAACCTTCAAAATCTAGTTGAAAGCCTTCCCACTAGCTCGTGATAGACCACAGTTAAAGTTCAACATCCTGAACAGGAACTAAAGGACGAAGCTACAATAGGCATCTTCAAGTCAGTCATCAGGACAAAATGGGAAACATTGAGCAACATCATTGGAGGAACCTGTGTGGATGAACACTGGAACTCTTTGAAAGCTATATGGAAAAAAACCTGCATAACTGTATTAGGAAGAAAGAAGATAGGGAATGGATGTCGACGGACACAGTCAAGCTGATAGAGAAGAGGAGAATGGTGAAACAGAAGATGAACCAGTGCAGTGCAGTGCAGGGATGAACAACCAAAAGAGGAACTGAACACAATGTATAAAACACTGCACTGGACATGGAAGTGAAGAAGAGTGCACACAAAGACAAAAAACACTTCCACGACACACTGGCAAGTGAAGCAGAACAGGTTGCTGGTAGGAGAGACCTGACAATACTTTACCAAATTACCAAAGTACTATCTTGGAAGAGATCAACGCAGATGAGACCAATGACAGATAGTGAAGGAAACCTAATTAGCAAAGAGCAGAAACAAAGGAAACGATGGGTTGACCAGTTCAAAAAATTCTTGAATCGACCACCACCTGCAACTCATCCAGAAATACCACCAGCAACGGCAGAACTACCAGTGAACACAGGCCCTCCGACAAAAGCAGAAGTTCTGAATGGCATAAAGTTGCTGAAATCCGAGAAAGCAGGACTACCAGATGCGATTCCTCCAGAAGCACTGAAAATAGACGCAGAAACAACAGCGGACTTGCTCACACCACTACTGCAGAAGGTCTGGAAGGAAGGGAAGGTATCTGCCTGTCGATCGGAAGAAGGGCTGCCTTGTCAAACTCTCAAAGGAGGGAGATCCAAGCCTTTGCAGGAACTGGCGAGGAATCACGCTCCTGTCCACCCAAAGCAAGCAAATATTAAGCCGCATCACCTTGGAGAGTCTAAAGGATGCGCTGGACTCAAAGTTACTACCGAAAGAGGCTGGCTGGCTGGCTTCAGGAAGAATGAATCATATGTGGATCAAACTGCAACACTACGCTACGCATCATCATAGAACAGAGCATACAATGGCAGTCAACTCTCTACCTCACCTCAAATTCATCAACTTTGAAAAGGCCTTCAAGAGTGTCGACCGAGAAGTAATTTGACAGTTGCTTCAACGCCACAGTTTCAGTGACACAAACTTGCGTCATCCTCATTCAACAGCTATGTGATGACGCCACATGCCGAGTGGTCCACAGTGGAAAGCTCATTGATGACTTTGAAGTGAAGACTGGAGTAAGACAAGGCTATCGCCAACTACCACCCATGAACTTCCTGCTTGTGGTCGACTCGACTGAACTGCATCATGCAGCAAACCGTGAGGAGCGAGAAGATGGGCATAAGCTGTTTGACGGATGAAAAGACCCCAGAAAATTTGGGTTTCGCCACGGATGACGATTTATGTCTAATGTGTTGTCGCACAAACTCGAAGATGTACAGGCAAAAATCAACAAGTTAACATAAGAGACAGCAAAACGGGACTTCCTTCAGATGAACGTGAAGAAGACAGAGGTAATGAAGATGCCCAACCAACAACAGCAACAATAACAAGAACCAGCACCAATCACCTTGATCGGGAGAAATCTAGAGGAAGTAGTCTCTTTCACCGACACCTACCTAAGCAGGCGGCATCGTTTCAACTACAGGTGGCGGCACAGATGAGGACGTCAAAGCCATGATCGGAAAGACAACAAGACAGGCCTTGTTGCATTAATTTGAAATCAGTGTGGAGATCTACTGCACTGCACTCAGCATGAAGCGTGAACAAGACACGGATTTTCAACGCTAATTCAGTCAAGTAAGTTAGCGCTTCCATTTGATGGTTCAGAAACTTGGCGCGTCACGAAAGCATTTTCAACAAACTACAGAAATTCATCAACAGCTGCAGCCTACGTTCGCTGATACTGAAGATCAGATGAAATGGCCAGAATAATAAGAATAAGCAGCAAGGAACTCCGGCTGGCTGGCAACAAACCAACCAAGAACCTATCACCCAACAAATATGCAGAAGAAAGTGGAGATAGAGTGGAATGGATTGGACATGCACTGAGAAGACCACTTGGGACATCATGCGCCAGACCAGGGCATCGAGTGGAATGCACAGGGGAAGCGACTAGTTGGGCGTCCGAGAATGAAAAGGAGGAGATCATGTGAGGAAGAAATGAGAGATTATGGGCAGTCGTGCAGCCAGGTTGAGAAGACTGCAGAGAACTGTGTGCAATAAAGATATGCAACTGAAGCCCTATGTTCCACTAGGAACCCAAGGGGCAAATAAAATAATAGTCCACGATGAATATCACCTTGGGAAATAGATAAATAAAATATTTTCAGTCGACTAATTCTTTCAAAAGTACCTGAGCATCATGGAAGCGTACAGCTATGAATACTCAAAGAACCTTCAATTGAATGGTGTAGTTATTTTCCCTTTCTTACTTTCAACCACCAATCAACTTATTGAGAAACAAAAGATCTCATAAAAGTACATTCTGTTCAAGTAAACTTACCATCTAATTGGCTAAATTTATTTACCAGTCCTCAAGCCTGTGCTAGAGTAATTTTTTAAGAAAATTTCACCTGTGAAGAATGGATTCTTTCATTGTCAAATGAGAATTTTGAGGTTTGAGAAAACACTAACACATATTATGGTAATGTTCACAATGTCATTAACTACGGGCAAACTCACCGCTCTGCTCCCACGATGATACATTATCATCTTGTAACAGTCAAGCAAGTAACTGTCATAGTACTTCTGAATCACCGCTATCCGAACTAAGATATGTTGGCTTTAATTCTCTGTATTTAACACCGAAACATACAAACTCTGATCTGTCTTATTTGAGCATTGCTTTCCACAAAGAGGTTGTGTAGAAGATGTGCGATACACGTAATCCATCTCAAAAGTAAAACACTGAATAAAAACAGTTGGAAGTATCTTATCTATTTACAAGACACTGAATATTGGGTACTGCAGTACAAAAACTAAACATGTAGGGCGATTCGACAGACTAAAATACAATGCAATGAATATCCAGCCAGCATCAAGGAATCCGTATAGGAACCCACCTTTCAACAGAGGTCGAGCAGTTTAACCCTATACCAATAAACAACAATTCGATAATTTCTTAGTTGTGTGCATGTGTGTGACTGAAAGCTTTTCTCGTAAAGATACCTAGTAATATAGGGCACGGAGAGTGATTTTTACTTAAATCTCTGATTTCAAGTGGTGGTTAGGCAAATTATACGTCGACTACACAATAATGTATATTGAGGTTAACGCAGATTTTGCTTTTAAAGCACTCGGGGGAACCACTGAGAAGGTGAAAGCACTAGTCAGATGATTCACCTCAGTGTGAGACTCCTCAGTAGTACACACTAACGACCTCATCCCATCAGAGATCGAACTCAGGACTTTCAAATTTCCCATGGAATGCACTAACCCTTCGGTCACAGGATCAGAGTTCAGTGGTTTACAGTTTCCTACTTCTGTCAATTCACGGTCTAGCATGACCATCCATTGAGGTCTTCAGTTGACATCCGCCTCACTGCTAACTGTTTGACCCTACCATAGGTCACGGCTTCTTATTAGAACTTCAGAATATCCATCTCCAAGCATTCCACTAATGAGCACTGTACAATAATGTATTCTGAGACTAACAGGGATTCTATTTTGATTTTTAAGGCAGTATTTGTTACGAAGTTTAGAACCATGGGTGCGTGCTGCTGAGGAGTCCCATACTAGGACGAAACAGCTGTCCAGTGCTCTCAGATTTTCAATGTTTCTTCAACGGATATCAGTCACCCCGTGTTGTCTACTGCCTGAAAGGCTGTATTATCCTTACACCACCAACTGGACACAAATATCTATCGAATACAAACTTTCAAAGTACTAAGTAATCAAAGCTGATATTAATTTATAGTATAATCCGATTTTATGTATCATTTTCTTTACCCCTGTTTTTGCATACTGTAGCGTTTCTTCAAAGTTGGCTTCATGAACAAATCCAGAAAGCAGAAAACAGATACGAACATGGAACAGACATCACCGTTTGAAGCTATGCGAAATGTTTCAGTGAAACATTCACAATTTGCCAAGTACTTAGCTCTAGAAAATTCTGGTGGTAATCAGAGGTAACAGATTCAGTGAATTATATTTCTCTAGTTTAGCTTGTACGTTATATATTCATTGAACAATAAAATGGTGCTATTATATTATTATTAGTCCCTTGGGTTCCTAGTGGAACATAGGGCTTCAGTAGCACGTCTCCAGTGACCTCTGTTCTCCGAGATCTTTTGAACCTGGTTCCACGACAGCCCACAACCTCTCATTTCCTCCTCGCATGACCTCCTCCATGTCACCCTTGGACGTCCAACTCGTCGCTTCCCATGGGGATTCCATTCGAGGGCCTGACGCGTGATGTCCTCAGTCGGCCTTCTCAGTGCATGGCCAATCCATCTCCACTTCTTCCTGCATATTTGTTGGGTGATAGGTTCTTGGTTGGTTCGTTCCCAGAGTTCCTTGTTGCTTATTTTTTCTGGCCATCTGATCTTCAGCAGCGAGCGTAAGCAGTTGTTGATGAATGTCTGTAGTTTATTGGAAATGCCTTTCGTGACGCGCCAAGTCTCTGAGCCATACAAGAGCACTGACTTGACGTTGGTGTTGAAAATCCGTATCTTGTTCCACATGCTGAGTGCAGAAGATCTCCACACTGGTTTCAGGCTAATGAAGGCCTGTCTTGCTTTTCCGATTCTGACTTTGACGTCCTCGTCCGTCCCGCCTGTAGTTGAAACAGTGCTTCCTAGATAAGTGAAGGAGGTTACTTCCTTCAAGTTTCTACCGTTGACGGTGATTGGAGTTTGTTGTTGTTGTTGATGTTGGTGGTGCGGTATCTTCATCACTTCTGTCTTCTCTATATTCACCTGAAGTCCCGTCTTAGCTGCCTCTTCTGTCAACTTGTTAGTTTTTGCCTGCAGATCTTCAAGTTTATGTGACATTAGGCATAAGTCATCGGCGAAATCCAAGTCTTCTAGGTTCTTTTCCGTCGTCCAGTGTATCCCCCTCTTCTCGCTGCCTACTGTTTGCTGCATGATCCAGTCCACCACAATCAAGAATATCATGGGGGATAGTAGGCAACCTTGTTTCACTCCTGTCTTCACTTCAAAGGCATCACTGAGCTTCCCATTGTGGATTACTTGGCATGTAGCATCTTCATATAGTTGTTGAATGAGGCGGATAAAGGTTTGCGGTACTCCGTAGTATTGAAGCAGTTTCCAAATTACTTCTCGGTCGACGCTGTCAAAGGCCTTCTCAAAGTCGATGAAGTTGAGGTATAGAGCTGATTGCCATTCTACGCTCTGTTCTATGATGATACGAAGCGTTGCAATTTGGTCAGCACATGATTTGTACTTCCTGAAGCCTGCCTGTTCCGGTCGCAGTTTTGAATCCAGTGCGTCTTTAAGCCTCTCCAGGATGATGCGGCTTAATATTTTACTTGGGGTGGATAGGAGAGTGATTCCTCGCCAGTTCTTGCAAGCACTGAGGTCTCCCTTCTTCGGCAGTTTGACAAGGTAACCCTTCTTCCAATCGACAGGTACCTTCTCTTCCCTCCACACCTTCTGCAATAGTGGTGTGAGCATGTCCGCTGTTGTCTCTGCATCTGTTCTCAGTGCTTCTGGCGGTATTCCATCTGGTCCTGCTGGTGCTATCATTTGAATAAATTTTCAAATGGAATTAAGAATTAGGAGGAATCGACAAGTTTTAGATGCAACTTTTATAAACTCAACTATTTACCTTACTTTTCTCTCTCTCTGTAAGGATATTAGAGTGATTCGCATTTCTGGAACATGTGTAAAAATCATTCAGCACGAAATATTCATGGAATTTTAATATGTTGAAGAAAATGAAATAATAGGGGACTTAGGTCAAAATGTTATGGAGTTAATAAATGATAGTTAAGTGATGAAAACTTTCTTTCCGACGAATCATTTTTAAAGGCTGTACGTCGTAATTTCAGTTACAATAAAATATGTATCAATCAGTAACTAATGGGTCATCAGAAACGGTCAATAAAGTCACAAAGTGATACCAGCTAGAAGGTCAAGGTCATCAAGAATTTCTTATGGGATTATAGTAAATAGACAATGAATAAACTGTTTTAGGGAGATTGCGACCATGACAAAACTAGGGATTGAATGTACCTTTCTTGAACACAAACAGCAGGCTTGTAATGCAGCATTGCTAGAGCATCTGCTGTGTTGAAGCGGCGAATACCCATTCGCTTCGAAATATTTACCTGCACTTTATAAATGACTTTGAAAGGAGATTCTCATGGAGTAGTGTGACTCGAGTTAATCAAATGCTCAAGAATCGAGCTGTTAACGGTTTTACACTCTCTTTTAAACAACCATATACAATAGTGTTCGGAGATGTATCTGGATAGAACTCGCTTTGTGCGGTCCACAAGAGCAGGTGAATTAGTAAACACATATGGAGGTGGTCAAGGACGTTAGTTTATTTTCTACACAGCTTTAAATCAGATAGTAACTTGAGAAAGCAATCAAAAACTAAGAGGAAAGTTTTTCCTCAGATCTTTGTACAGTCGGTTTTTCAACATCTCTATAAATGTATCTCACCTGAATCTGATATTGGTAAATAGTGTCTTCTTTGGAATCATAAGGGTTTCTTTTTTTAAATGATTAGGTCTCATGTGCTTCTCAATGAATCTTGAAGGACAATCATTCTCAATTAATACACTTCTAAGTACTTCGAGTTTCTCATTTATTGCATCATCCTTACAAATTCTTCTAATTCTTATGCATAATGAATGAATTAGAGTTCTTTTCGCGACTGGAGGAACCCAAGTTTAGTTTACTGTTAGGCGATCTCCTTACGGAATCATCATATCTTCTTAGTCGAACTTCCAAGGAGTGAAACTCTTAGTTGTTTTCAGTATCGATGGTAAATTTAACTGACTTATCACATCCATTGAACTAGTCAGGTAAAGAAATCTAATTTATTCATTATGTACACGAATGAGAAGAATTTGTACGAATGATGCAATAAATAAGAAGCTTGAAGTACTTCGAAGTGTATTAATCGAGAAGGACGTGAAGCTTAAGCATTTCAAAGAAGAGACTTTTACAGTTCCAAAGAAGATACTATTTATCAATATCGGATTTAGGTGAGACACATTCTCAGAGATGGTGAAGAACTGACTATATAAAGCACTGAAGAAGACTTTCTTTCCGCTCAGATTTGGACTGTTGTTTGATTGAGATGAGAAGTCCTGGCTGATCAGTCTATGTGAATACAATAGATGGGAGAAAACCTTGGTGATCGAAGTGAAATTATGATCTGGTCTGCAGCTCATTTGGCAAAGTACCAGGCAGCTAACCTTACTAGTTCGGATCATGCGGCAACCAACTTTTCTATTTCACTTTCAATCATCACTCAGTATCAATAATATGAGCTTCCAAACAATATATATATATATATATATATATATATATATATATATATATATATATATATATATATATATATATATATATATATATATGGTTGTTGAGGTTTACGGAGATTTTATTTTTAAGGTTGTGTTCATTAAGGACTGACTGAAGTAGGAAATTGTCTATCTTTGAACTCCAAACAAGTGAAACAATGGTCAGGATGTTCACCTCTAGAACTAAAGGTCCTGAGTTCGATCCCAAGAGGGTCGGAGTCGTGGGCGCGTACCTCTGAGGAGTCCCATAGTGAGACAAAATAGCTGTCCAGTAGTCCAAGGTTTTCAGCGGTTATCCAAATAATATCATTTCGTGATGAATATATATATATATATATATATATATATATATATATATATATATATATATATATATATATATATTGGAAAGGATAGAACATCCCAGCACTGTTTCCAGTCAGAGTCCAAACCTCATTGAATCACGAGAAGAAGTTACATAATACTAATAAAGATTCCTGGTACAGAAATGAACAAAGGATTAAGAAGAAAACACTTAATTACCTAATTGAGGATTTATGCATAACAGTCAAAGTTTTGCGGTGACCATAGCAAAGGCAAAGGTTGGATCTACATTTTTAGTCATATAGCACTAGCAATCCAAAAATTCAGGGCAGCCATATGTGTCAAGAAAAATACGTTTAAATTTTGATTTTGACATGGGTATAATGAAATTTGGACAGTTTTAGATAGGTCTGATATTGTATAAACATACCCACTTCCTTATTCCTTTGTTTTTCCCTGCACTAAATTCATATTTACACGATGTAGCCTCGTATCTCTCTTCATTATGTTAAAACTCCCAATGAGATGCAATTTTACATTGTTTTATCGTTTCTAGTGTATATGTTCATGAATATACAGCTTGAAAAATGACTTCATCGAAAAGAAAAGTTATTCTTCGCTAAAATCGACTAATTTTTTTGCCCTTTTACGATTAAATACGTGTATTCCACTATTCTTTGTAACATGAAAAGTTCTAGGTAGTATCAAAAGTTTACAAGACAGTGGATAATCCATGTATCATGCAAGTGAATTACTTATACAGAGGCAAGACATGTAGGAAAGGAAAAATAATAATGATAACCAAAGAGTTATGTAATCAAAGTGAAAGTGGAACAGGATGAAATCATAGTGAACAAGGGAGTAAAGGATTAACCACACTCTCCTTCTATATGCAAAGGTCAGGTTGAAAGAGTTTTGTTACCATCGTTTCTGTAAAGTGCAGTAGTCCAGACATTCTTTGCACCTTACTTTAAAGGCACTTGAGTTTTCAACCTGATGTTCTGTGTCTACGAGGTGTCTGGTAATTGTACTGGTTAGAATTTCCCTTCCTTCCAATAGGGATTCTTAGGAACATGTCCAGCGAATCGAATGGATGCCCTCCGCTGAGTCCTTATAATGTAATTGCTACTATAAGTGCATATGAGTTCGTAAATACAGTCTGGGTGACATGAGAGTGGTAATTATCCCATGCTGACTAGTTCAGAGAGCATGTTAGATCGTATAGTGATGCAGGGTTAGTTGCAGGAAAGCTCCATCCCAGTGCTTCCTTGATTCTTGTGTCTATTCTCTTGGATATTGCATCTCTTTTAAATGTGAGGTGCATAAAAGCCTTCATCTTTTCCACATTTTTGTGTTTACTTGTCTCGATCTGTTCTTTGCCACACTTCATAATAAATCTCTTAGGATATCCATTCTCTCGGAGATGCTTCTCGATAATGTTTAGTTCTTCCTGTAACCTTCTTGCAGAATATAATATCCTAGCTCTTTTGCAACGCGTTTTGACTAGTCCACGCTTATAACTGGTAGGACAGAAACTGATATGGTTAAGGGATTGTCCTGGCCATGTGTCTTTTCGATAGATGGTCTTTTCAATCTCACCATCTCTAGGTAGTAACAAAAGTTTACAAGATAGTGAATAATCGACTTTTGGAAATCATCTATATGATTTTTTTAATGTGATCAGCATGCATCAGGATTATCAGATATGGGATGACAATCATCTTAGAGCTAGGTAAACATTTACTGTTGATAGATAGTGGCTAGCAGGAGGATTCCGCACGCGCATTTCGTCCTATTTGGGATTCGCTAGCTTGATTTACCTACCTCCTAGTGAGTTATATCGTCGCCACTGGGACTCGAACTCGGAACCGATCGCTTCAAGCGTTATCCACTGAATCACGTCTTGAACGACGAGTTTAGTATTGTTGCTTGTGTTATTTCGTAGTTGAGTAGACCGAATTGAGATCGGTCTCTGTTGACATTTGAGCTACTTAATGGCTAGCAGTGGGATCCAGGTAAACATTGCTAAGTAGAGGAGATTCCCAGTTCTGATAACTGCATACCATTAGAGTTTAGCTTCTGTTGATCTTATTCAAGATATTTTATTCTTGCCTGACGTCAAAGTTTACATTTCAACTATTACTAAAATCAGTTTAATGCCATAATGGTAGATATTGAATAAGTCACAGGAAATAGCTACTTTAGCCGAATGTGCACAAACCAAATGATGTCACAAGACTATGGGAATATTAATTCAAGTGTTACTTATCAGCTGTGTATGCTTTAGAGTTAAACAGCGAACAAGAATGATTCAGGACTATACAGAACTCTTAAAAAATAGCTGAATTCATACAAACTTAAGTATTTGCTGAGGAAATGAACACTAAGTCTTATCTTATCGCTTATTTAAAACTCTACTGGGGTAAATGCTAATCAAACAAGCAATAAAAAGAGATAAATTAGTATTTGATACATTGAAAGAACTATACGCATTTATAGAAGTAGCCTCTTTCACCTATATAGGCAGCACTGTTTCAACTACAGTCGGCGGCATAGACGAGGATTTCAAAGCCAGGATTGGAAACGCGAGACTGGCGTTCATTAACCTGAAACCAGTGTGGAGATCTCTACTGCACTCAGCACAAAGAACAAGATACGGCTTTCAACACCAGCGTCAAATCAGTGCTTCTGTATAGTTCAGAAACTTGGCGCGTTACGAAAGGGATTTCCAACAAACTACAGATATTCATCAACAACCACTGCCTACACTGGCTCGTTACTGAAGATCAGATGGCCAGAATAGTGAGAATAAGCAACAAGGAACTCTAGCTGGCTGGGAACGAACCAACGCAGCAAGAACCTATCACGCAACAAATCTGCACTGGAAGGAAGTGGAGATGGATTGGGCACACACTGAGAAGACCATTCGGGGACATCACACGCCAGGCCAGGCCCTCGAGTGGAACCCAGATGGGAAGCGACGAGTTGGGTATCCGAGGTGAGGATGACATTGAGGAGATCTTGTGAAATGGGAGCTTGTGGGCTGTCGTGGAGCCAGGTTGAAAAGATTACAGAGAAGAGAGTGTAATGGAGACGTGCTACTGAAGCCCTATGTTTCATTAGGAACCCAAAGGACAAATAATAATAATAATAAATAATACGCATTTATGATTTTAACTACTCTTAAGACAAAATAAAAAACCTGTAGATAAAAGAAACGTTATAATAATTATTTGATTGATAAACAGTTATTTTGACTAATTAATTTTTCATTCTCCCATATATATTCACATCAAGTATGACATATCTCCCATCGACTGTAAAAATGAGTTTGCAATGGCCTGAAGAAGACAAGTCAACTATTCCTGATCCAATTGATTCAAAAAATTCACCATCTTATTCTAGGGAATGCGTTAATATAGAAAGAATTGACTACAAACAGGAGAGTTGTAATCATGTGGTGGTGATACGTCCACCTAAATGTGGTGGTCATAGAAGTTCAAGTGCTACACAATCTGATCGTCTTTCAGAGCTATCCACTGATAGAACTTCAGAATCATGTTCAAACACTGAAAATGTTTATCCACCGACTCCTTTTGCCTCAAAATCTTCAGTGATTCTTCGTCGTCCAAGAACTCCTACTTTGGGAAGAGCTGCTCTATTCGTTCGTGCTTCATATACGAGTGTAGATAAGTCATTGATACCGTCTAACACATCATTTTGTAAGCAAAACACAAGAAGGGACACAATTCTATCAAATGACTCTCATTTGAGTGATATTGCAAATTTATCGAATGTACAGTCAAGTTTTATGAGTCGAAGTTCAAGTATAAACTGTGAACTCAGAGAGTTTGGTCAAAATCAACAACAAAGGTAAATTGATACTATTTCTTATTTTTGCTCTATGTATAACGAGCTTTAAGTATTATGACTGTCACGTTGCTCATAATGTTGTATCTAGATATACTTCATATGTACAGTTTTTTTGAAACATGTAGCTTTGTGTTCAGGTTTTTTTCCTTGAGGCACAAGTAAAAGAACAAATAGATGGTAACTGTCCAGCTGTATATCGTTTTTCTTTCAGATATACATTCTACAACAAATGTTAGTTGGGTGGAGGAAATCGGTAGGAAGCTCTGCTTGAACTAGGTTTTGTTTTTTTGGCACTCGTCAGCAAGTCATAACTGCAACCTCAAGGGAAATGATATTCACTATGAAATTCTAACCTGTATCACCCAGTAGTGGAGATAGCGACGTCGCCACTGAGCTAGTCGGACTGCTATTCACCTCCTGTAGGACTGAATTGTGTACACCGATTAGTCACTGGAGGATGACCAACTTCACGTTGTCAATTCCTAAGTGCTGATCGAATTCTATCTATCATATTTAGCAATGTGATCACCACACTAGGAGACTCACCATCGCAGTCCACTGTCATAGATGTTAGTTGGATAGAGGCAGTTGGTAGGAAGCCTTGAAATTAGGTTTCGGGCTTTCTGGCACTCGTTAGCAAGGTTCATCTGCAACTTCAATGGAACTGATGTCCAACTGCAGCATTAGGTAACGTGAGTTTGAATCTCGGGTGCGACATCAGTTCCGCTGACTTTGGAGATGCACCTTGCTAATGAGTGTCAAGAAGAACAAAACTCAGGTCCAGGGCTTCCTGCCGATCGCCTATATCCAATTAACATCTCTCTCAGTGCATCCCGATAGAAAGTCTCTTGGCTTGGTGATCACATTACAAAAATCATAATCGGTTAAATTCTATCAACACTTAACTGTAGAAAACGTGAAGTTTGTTACCTCCAGTGGCCAATCAATGCAGATTCTACCATTTCCATCAAAGTGGTTTTAATTAACCCTAGACCATGGCTCTATTCAGTGTGGGAAAAGTGGTGTTGCTTGTATCACTCAACAGGAGCCAGGTACATCCAACTGACGAGTCCCAAATAGAAAGAAACGTGCGTCCTGGATTCCGCTGCTAGCCACTATCCCCCAGTAACGTTTCTTTTCTAGTCTGTAAATAAGCCAATATGATTTGTTAGAAAGGTAATACACATTACAACCAGTTGATTTTATTTTTTATATGTAAGCTGAATGTTTTGTATGCTGAGTGATGACTGAACGTGAGGTGAAAGTCTCAGCCGCGGCAGGATTCGAATCCCTAACCCCCGGCTTTGTGGCTCAGTACTCTACCAGCTGAGCTATTAGACTATGCTGCCGACCAGATCTTAATTTCTCTTGTCACTAAGAGTTTTTCTTGACTATCTTTTTGACGATACAATTTTATAGCTGTACATTCACTAGTACATAAGTGATAGAATACTGCAGAGAAGTTTCAGCTTAAAGGCGACGGAGTGAGATAATGTTATATAATGCAAGAAATTATTTTGTTGAACAGAATTATAAACTAAGTAGTTCCAGCTGAATGGTGAGCAATCTGATGACTGGTCTAATTTAAGGCCTTGAATCTCTTCAGTAGTCGATTCCAAGTGCTGCCTCTTGTATGCGCTACTGGAAACTACTCAGTATCTGTACATAAGGTGAAGAGGATCACAACATATGGATACCAAATAGTCTCCGATCGTTGTTTGTGGAATATCTAGGAGGTCTATTTAGTAAAGCTTGTCCTCTCTCTCTATCTCTATATGTGTGTGTGTGTCGATAATTCAGTCTGATCCATAGGCACCCACAACTCTGAAGTTATAGCGTTAATACGAATGGATTACCTTTTCGGAATAAATATCAGCTCATGATGAATGTCGACTTAACATCAATAAAATCTTCACCAATCTCTAAACCTGGACTACTGTTCAGTGCTCACTGATGACATGCTTCAAGTTGAGGGTCTGAGGAGAATTGCTAACCGGTGGGTTTGACCAAGTCGGAAGTGAGGACAGGTACTCAAAGAGGGCATTGGAAGGATGTCACGGTATATACCGAACTGAAGTTGTATTCCAACTCAGTGACTCAGCAGTGGATGCTGGCTGCGAAACCTTAAAGTCATCGGTTTCATCTCTGGTATGGTTATTTGGTGCACACTGTTGAGCAGTGTCATGCTAGGACGAAACAGATGTCCAGTACTCCCAGTTCTTCAACCTTACTTTCAACGTAGTTGAGCCTGTTATTGTTGAAGAAACAACCGTGAGAGTGACCAGTTTACACAAAAAACCCCTCCCTCCAAATGAAACACCATGACACCTTTTTAAAATTCATGAATGCTATGTGTAGTTTCAGGTTTATGATGATTTCATTCTGAAGTAGGAAAGTGTGGGCCAGTGAACTACGACACAGTAGCTTCATAGTCAGCTGTTCACCATGAGATCCGAAGGTCCTTAGTTCCATTCCTGATGAGGTCATGATGCGTACTGTCAAAGAGTCACGTACTAGGATGAAACAGCTGCTCATTGCTCCCAAATTTTTAGTAGTTCTCCAGCCGATGTCAATCCATAATGTTATATCATATACAAATAGTAGAACTTTCATCAATTTATCGCCTTCTAATAAATCAGATATGATTACTTACAGTCTGAGAATATAAGTTTAAGAATGATTATTTAATTTTTCTCTGAAGATACATTTTTTGTGTAGAAAAATAAAAGTCGAGCATTTAACGGATTCACAGATTCGCAATATAGTCCTATCAGCATCCAGTGTCAAAGCGAATATTTTCCCCCACATGAAATGGTTAACCCCAAGTTTTTAATAGTTCTTAGTCCCTATAAACTTTTGAACTGAAGTATTACTTCTTATCCTGATGCATCAACTCAACCAAGAAGTGTAAAGTCGAAGCCTTTTGAAACATATAGTCACCGAGATCAATATGACATCATGAATATTCAGCAGTATCAAGGCATCTGCATAAACACCCATCTGCCCTCAGAGGTTGAACAATTCGGCTCTGTAAAGCAACTGGAAATTACAAGTATCATAACACAACTGATACCCGTTGCACAAGGAATGGCTGTCGTGCCCCAGTGGCTTAGTGGATAATGCCCTAGCGTTTGAAGTGATAAGCACTGGGTTCAAGCCACAGTGGGAACAACATCACTCACTCAGATGCGAGCACATCTGGCCGACGGGGCTTAAATAGGACGAAACGTGCGTTCTAGATTTCTGTGCTAGCCACCAAGATCAATATGGGAATAATATACTTTGATAAAACGACAAGATGTATTTTCATGCACAAATCTCCTTACGTAAATTTCAAAACAGCATGAAAAACAATTGGGTCAGGTAAAAATGGTTCCATTTTGACGGAAAATAATGAACAATTTGAGTAGTATATTTCATTTGGTCTATACTACTTCTGTATTAGAGATCACACATACTTTTTGATCTGACTGGCTGGCTGGTTGGCTGTCTAGGGCTGGATACGAAGCGAGGCTATTGGGTATATGGATATTTCTGACGGTTTTAATTTTCTTGTTCTTCGTGGTATTCACGATGATGATGGTGGTGAAAATGAAGATGAATATGGCAATGATGGTGTATTGTTTGGTCGGTGATTGTTGTTGTTTGTATGAGATTGGGTGATCGCTAGCTTGTATTGAGTGTGTGATTATTAAGTGGTTGTGTGTATTTTCGTGACAGTGGGTGGGCTTGTATGTGTCAGGTAGGTACGTTCGTATGTAAGTAGGTAGATAGGAAGGGGAGGAGTGCGAAAAGTCGACAACATCCGGTGTTCCAAGCCGGTCACCCAGCATTGCTTAACTTCGGTGATGGGATGAGAACCGGTGTTTTCAACGTGGTAGGGTTGCCGATAACTCTACTTATGAGTTGAGCTGTCATTTCATATTGAAGTTAATGCTGATGATGTTGTTTAGAAAGCTTCACGATTAAACTATCCAGTTCATAGAACACAACAAAACCGGAAAGAATAAAAATTAAGACAGCCGAAATAATAATGCATCAACCGTGTTTCCAGAGCTAAATTCACCTAAGAAGGTTTAATGGGGTGGTATACTGTTTTTCAACATATATAAATAGCCTGAATCTCTCAAAAGCTAAGGCCTTAACAAATTTGAGGATTTTTCCTAAATGCATTTTGAAAATAGGTCTAAAAGATGTAGAAACGTCAATCCTGTAACCTGTCTCAGTGGTATGTTTCACTTGAACATCTCCTACCAAAGTTTATAGACTCAGATGTATCGATTTGTTTTTGAAAGCGACTTGAAATATGCTTCAACGCCTTAACGTGTCTGCCTATGGATCCTCCTTATGTATATCACTACATGTGGGTTCAAACTGACAGACACAATGGGGTATGACATTATCATCCGTGTACTTTAGAGATTTCGGAGAATAAACAGGTTTATAGGTTCTATTAATTTGACCCAAGCTGGATAGAATTTCATTCTGGTATTAACATTAACTCAGTGCTTAGAAATGCGACATAAAAGTCGTAGAAACTAGATGGAAACATCCTTCTTCTGGACGAAAAAAATAGCATGTTTGGCTCAGTAACCACTCTATATTAATTAATAAATGTTTCACCCAATATTCTTTTCCTCATCGTTTAAATTACAGTCTATGCATGTTCGTTAAATTCTATTGAATATGCCGTTGATTAACATTTGCTTGTACTGAATGAAAGAAAAGCTTTGATAGTTCAATAACTGCGTTATCTATGTACATTTTTTTAAAGACATATCATTGTATAAATTCATCCTCTAGTCTACTAGTCAATATATTTAAGAACGACAAGTAATTATCTGCCTCTTCTACACATATCAATCAAGGATATGCTGTTCTTTCAGTTTATTTAATCGGTTTAGAATTGAGTTGATGCACCTTCAACGTAAATGAACTTTTTTAAGTAGATTCTCCGTTAAATTTTCCACTTGCAGCATAAATTATCTGTGAGAAGGGAACCCAAATGACTTCTCATAGTGACACTATTAATTTGATTGGAATGTTTACCTTTGAATGTAAGTTTGACATTATTTCTGCTGTATGAAATTAGTGGTTCTTCTAAGTAGTTTGCCAAACAGAAATTTATGAAGATGAAGTTTTAATCAAACGATAAAATAGTTCTTAATGTCACTCAAGGCGTTTGATCACTTGAAATGTGTCATAAGTTACTGGATAAATTTGGGTATGAATGATGTGAAGGATGTTGGGTTCATACACTTTAGATAAAGCATAAAGACTTGAGAATTAGAAGTCAGTTGGCTTCAATTAATTTGATTCTTTCTTGTAAAGTAGTATTCATTACGGGCTGAAATCAGCATCAGACAGCTGTTTCGTCCCAGTATGTGACTCTTCACCAGTGTGTACTCAGGACCTTAAAGTTCCATGACCAGCAAGTTAGGATTGAGTCACTAGGTTGAGATATAACAGTTAACATTTTCCCGCTTCTGTCAATTTTGCAATATAGCGTCACCTTCATCTAATGGTATCGTTGAGTATTTGTTAATATCTGTCACGACTTCTCGTTAGAATTTCAGTAAATCTCATCTTGAAGCATGTCACTAATGAGGACTGCACAGCTATTCATTTAGGATGTTTATCGGGGGAGATGAATACCACCATTTTGAAAGCAATAAATCTCCATAAACCTCTAAAGTAACATCTCCATCTCTTTATTATTTCTTGTTAATGGGACTAATCTTTTCAATTAACATTCTCACTTATATCAAATATAAATCGGTAGATTAGTAAAAACACTAAATTCTCATTATTTCGCATTTTAACAAAATTTTTAGCATAAACCAATTTTTGAATAAAAATGATCCATTACAAAGTGAATTGCAGTCGGATAACTCAAATGGAAAGCAATATGAAACGAGAATACCGACAGCTATATCAAAAAGGCATTATTGTCATGCTTATGATACAGTTCCACTAGATAAATTAGAGTGTTTGAAATTAATCCCTTCAGTACAAATGCTTAATAAATGTTCTGATACAAAATCTGAGATATCTAAATTGTCTACAGGAAAATCTTCTAATTGTGTTTCATATCCAATCAAATTATCACAAGACGATCAGAAAATACAATCATCTTCCACAGAATACATTTCTCAATCCAATGAAATTAACACCACTATATCTGATAGTTTTATAAATAGTAAACACTTAGATAGTGTTTCAATTGTATCTTCTTCAGAAACTGAAATATCATTAATAGAAAATAAACAATCTGTAAAGCAACGTGAAGTGTTACAATATGAGTCAACTTGTACATCGAAAGTTTCCAGTCCACTTATTGATACACGATCCACTTCAAAAAGTTGTCATATTATCATGAATTCACGTAAATCAGTTGAAATACCAAAGACTTCAGTACAATCAGTTAAACAAAAATCTAGTAAGGTGAGTAAATGTTCAATAGTCAGTCATTATTTTGTTTTTAATAAAAAATATTTTCGTTATTCTTCTAATATACATATATATACCGACTTTTGATAATTTCAGACTATGATTAATGCAGAACTGCCAACATCTCCAAAATTTTATAGTTCACAAAAATCTAAAATATCAACTAACTTGAAATTGAACAAAACTGAGATGAAAAACTCTTCTCATCTAACCAATCAACTGACAACACTAGCTAATAATAGTACAATTTATTCAGAATATAATACACGTCAAGTAATATGTAGAGAAAACACATCAGAACACATCAGGGAGTCACAGAATAATCAACAATGCAATCAATCAATCCCTATTGGTTCTATCAAGTATGTATTAAGTAATTTTTTTTTTCAGTTTTAAATGTACTTTTAACTGGTATATTGGGAATATAACTTATGAATATCGCATAAAATTTAAAGAAAATTAAAGCACCTTTTCTGTAATATGATTCCCATTTCCGCACCAGTGTATTGATGAAGTAAAGGTTATAACTACATTTCTTTAGAAAAAAATAACCATGGGACTGACTTTTCGATTCAGTTTATGTCATTGCCTATATTATCCTCTTGTATTATACCTGTCACACAAGACGTGACTGTCATGACTCGATATCCTAGGGGATAACGTTCTGGCATAGTAAGAATATCATCACTCACTAGTAGATATAATATATCCAGCTGACAGATCTTAAACAGGATGAAACATGTGTTTTGAATTCCCCCTGCTAGCCACTAACCATCATTACTTTTCAATTCAATGACTGAAAGTCTATACTAGCGATAGCATTACATTATATAAGCTTACCGCGTCAACATCCATGTCAATTCATGTGTTCAGTAGACAAGATCCTGAAAGACGACAATTTCTCATCAAAGTATATTTTAGTAAAAGTAAAGAAAAACTGGTAAGCTTGATTAGAATATAAAGATGACATGAGAATATTTTTTAATATATCCTCAATTTTGTTCCATAATATTGACTATTAGCATAAATATTGAATACAGTTTCCAATCTTCCTTTTTCACTTATACTATCAAGACAGAATGCCAAAAATTCCCATTGTCAAAGTTAGAAGAAGACACAGAAAAGTGCTCTCCCTTAGGTCTCATCAAGCTTTACTCTAATATACATAAAGTTTCTCAGCAATGAACTATTAAACCAACCATAGTGAACCCATGAGACTGTGATAACAAAGAAATGAAGTCTCCAAATAGTAAATATCCAGGAAATAATCATGGTGGTAGTAATAATAATAATCTCAGTGACGATACGACTAATAGGAACAATATAGTACTACATGGTACTATACCGGGCTCACCATTAAGGAGTTTAACAAATATGTTGCTGTGTCTTTACCTTCATGGCTAGGAGAAGGACAAATAGAATCAAAACAAAGTTCAATTTTATCTCATATGGTCGACAGTGGCCATGAAATAGACAAGATCAAAGCTTTCAATACCATCTATCAAAAAATCTTTCCAACAGAATTCGTACTCACATATTACATATAGCTGAGGCTATGGAAATTACAGAAAACATTCCTAGTCTGCGTGGACGGAAAAAGCTTGTGCAACAGTTATCACCTCTTTCTTGGGTTCCTAGTGCAACATAGGGCTTCAATAGCACATCACCATTTCACTCTCTTCTCTGCAGAACTTCCAACCTCACTCTACAACTCCTCACAACCTTTCATTTCTTCCTCACATCACCTCCTCCAGGTCAACCTCACATCCGACCCCCAACTCGTCGCTTCCCATAGGGGTTCCACTCGGTGCCTTAACATGGCGAGTGATGTCCCTGAATAGTCTTCTCAGTGTATGTCCAATCCAATCCACTCCATCTCCACTTTCTTCTTAGGCATATTTGTTTTGTGTGATGGGTTCTTGGTTGGTTCGTTGCCAGCCAGCCAGCCAGCCAGCCAGCCAGCCAGCCAGCCAGCCAGCCAGCCAGCCAGCCAGCCAGCCAGAGTTCCTTGTTACTTATTCTTATTATCCTGGCCATCTGATCTGATCTTCAGTATGGAGAAAGCGTAGGCAGCAGCTATTGATGATGTATATCTATAGCTTATTGGAAATGCTTTTTGTAACGCGCCAAGTTTCTGAACCATCATATAGAAGCACTGACTTACTTGACTAAATTAGTGTTGAAAATCCGGAACTTGTTCACGCTTTATGCTGAATGCATTGCAGTGCAGTGCAGTACATTCCACACTTATTTCAGAATTATGCAGGAAGACCTATCTTGCTATATTTTCCAACCTGACTTTGAGGACCTCATGTGTGCCGCCACCTGTAAATGAAACGATGCTGCCTTCGCTACGTAGGTGTAGGTGTAGGTGAAAGAGGCTACTTCCTTTAACTTTCTCCCGTTCATGATGATTGGTGCTTGTCAGTGTAGTTGTTGTTGGTTGGGTATCTTCATCACCTCTGTCTTCTCTACGTTCACTTGAAATCCCATCCTCACTGCCCTACCTCTCCTGTCAACCTTTTAGCTTTCGCCTGGAGATCTTCAAGTTTGTGCGACAACACATCAGACAAATCATCATCGGTGGCGAAATCCAAACCTTCTGGGTTTTTTTATCGGTCAAACAGCGTATGCCCATTTTTCTCGCTCTTCACAGTTTGTTGCATGATCCAGTCCAGTCCAGTCGACCACAATCAGGAATATCATGGGTGATAGTAGGCAATAGCCTTATCTTACTCTTGTCTTCACTTCAAAGGCATCTTTGAGCTTTCCATTAAGTCGCAGAAAACTTTCTTACAGATGAATCGTCATCAGTAGTTTTACAGCTGTATTTATAATAATAATAATAATAATTGTCACTTTCTTTTAAACACTATGTATGATACAGTATTGAATTCTCAGAATGCAATAGTATTGAAGGTAATAAAATGAAACAGTCAGCTGTTGTTGGATAAGTTTCCAGTATACAACAGTCAATGAACAGAAAATCGATCGTAAACTTCATGTTAGTTGTAGCTTATTCAGTCAGTACAAGAATCCGCATTTCAAGCTAATTATTCGAGGCATAAAAATACAATATATTTTTCCGCCCTAAAAAAAATATTCCATTTCAACCTAAAGTGATATTTCTCTTCGCTCTGTTATTAACTCAAGAATTAGCTAGTTGAAAACATTTTAAAAATGTTCAGGAGTACATAATACGTTCAGAGGACATATTGAAATGAATAAAAAGGCAGTGGAGAAAAAGAATTTGATGTTGGTAGCACAGAGTCAAAGCAGATAGCCGTTTGATTATAATAGTAAATAAACAAATAAGTATATTATTACCTAACAGATCAACAGGAGATCATCAAACGGAATGTTCTTGTATAATATAGTGAGTCAGTTTTACAGTTAATAAGGGATTGCGTAATCAACGTTGTAGTAGTAGTAGTAGATTAACGTGATAATTAACAGGTTAAAAAATAAGCAGGACAACAGTAACAATCTAAATTATAGTCAATTATGTGAGAATTTTAACAGAAAAATTGAGCCAATATGTGAAGATGTAAGAAAGTAAACCACAAAATAAAAATAAAAGGTAAGGATAATCAGTCAGTAAGATTAAGATGAATATTGAAGCAGTTAAGGAAATTCAGGAAAGGATTATGACCACGCCAAAATAAGAGGATGTATGCACCCTTTTTGTACGTAGGGTTCAATCTTCAGTTGTTGGACTGACAATGCCTAAGCTATGCATAAATGATGAGTTCACACTCCTTTCGATCCACTTGATTTGACTGTTAAGAAGCGATATGACTAGAGTTGACCATATGATTCAAGATGGAACTGTTCTTTGACTTACCTTTTCCTCTGGACAGCAACACAGGATAACGCATGGAGATGCTTTTGGAAAGATTGTGCTTCGTTCGGTATAAAAAAGCAGGTAAATTAATAGACATATATAGGTGTATCCAAGGCGACAATTTGCCCTTCAGGCCTCGTTGAATCGACTGATAGTGTGGTTCATTAATGCGGAATGTTCCTCTGATTGCTTTAGGAAGGCGATTCTTCAGTATTTCCGATTCGTTATCTTCTTTTAATACGGCATTCATGAATAAGTAGGATTCAAGATGTGAGTTTGATTTAATGATTTCATGAGTAGGTTCTGATTAAATCTTAGCATACTTATTTTCTCCTGAAGAAGTTATGACATACACAGTGAAAAACGCACTGAGACATTAGTAATCTCCTTTGTAGTAATTTTTTTCATTGCAACGACTGTATAGCTGTTGACTGTGATTTTTCAACGAAAAAGCTTTCTTCATTGTCCTAATTTAAATGCCACAGTAGGCTTCCTTTTTGATATATGCATTTATTTAGTATATATGCTTTGCCTACTATTAGTTATATAAGTAGTGTTATAAGTTAGATTATTTTTCAATGATATTTTCTAATTCTCCGAAACCAACTGCAATCTGAAAAAGAAACTAGAGGATTTTCAACTGTCACAAAAACAAAGAAGCAAATGACACTTTCGGTTACTTTATACTATCTCTCATGTTTTAATATTCTAGAGAACAATTCACCGTACGTCTTGACGATAATGTGATATACTTAAGTTCAAGGTCTTACTCTGTTTCGCATTTGCGACAACCCGTCACCAAACTTTTGAGTATGAAGTTAGAAATGATACCCAAGTAAACTATATTGACCAACTACCTCTAATTTCTCATTTTTAAACCGCGACAGTTCAACTTTTAATCCATCTTTGAATGTATATAGAATAACCGACTTATTTTTTATTCCAATGTAGTGACTGAATTCTGTTCGTCATTTTGCGAAGTGACCATCAAGTTGTGAGGTGGGTCACAGTGATACACTTTGATGAATACTCGTTAGTTAGAGGAGATTGATGGATAGTTTTGGTGCTTGTAGCCATCAGTCAGCAAAGAATACCTCCAACCGTAAGAGAAGTAGCGTCCCCCATAAGATTCGAACGTCTCCTAGTGCCGCAGTTAATGATGTTATCGCTGGGCTATTTGGGTTACGACTGATCTCTTTTAGGAGTAGATTAGGTACACTAAATAGCAACTAGACAGCAACCAATTACATCTTGTCTAGTCATGAGTGCTAATTGAAATCTATCTATAATTATCTTAAATGTGCCCAACGACCTAACAAACTGAGGCATTCGGCACACTTCGGTTCATGTTAGTTGGTTAGAGTTGACCAGGAAGGGACATTAATATGCAACCTTGACGGGGAACGATGTCCTATTTAAGGTTCAAACCCAGTGATACATTCAGAGACATTACCACTAAGTTATTCGCAGTGTACTGATTGCCTTATACCAACTAATGTTCAATTTAATTTCGATATA